ACCCGCACCCCTGGCTGCTGCTGGAGAGGGACATCCAGCTGCGCAGCACCAAGCAGCCTGGATCTGGGTGCTGCTTCCCATCCCAGCAGAGGAAGAACGTCCCCAAATAGCCTTGGTTTCCTTGTTGGAGAAAGCGTTGGTACGGCGCTGATGGCTGGAATATTTCAGGAAGCACGTGGGCAGCCGTGGGTGGGAAGGGACAAATATTTTTCAAACAGAAAGCACTTGACACTTGAACTCGGCTCCTGGGCCTGCCCACTCAAATCTGTGTTAGGCAGAGGGAGATAGTGTGGGGTATTATTTTTATTTTCTTGATGGAAGGCAGAAATAAATTGGAGTGGAGCATTAATCACAGCCTTTCACTGCGAGCTGGCACAACTTCTGCACCCCAGTGGGCTTATCCTTGCTAATAAGAGGTCTCCTCCCAGAATGCAGCTATTCAGTCGTACCTGAGGAAAAGCAGCGCTGGGTTTTGTTGTGCATATTAGAAAGGCACCAACGCTTATCTTCCTTTCCCAAAAACCACTCCAAAGGGAGCGACGCCATTCAGAACTGCTCAGGTGTGGATGGAGTCGCAGCTCAGCACCGAATCAGGCCTTGCATCGTGGAGGTTAGCAAAGCTGGGATTAGCGGGGCTCTGCTGGTTTGTGTGACAGGAAAATATGGAACTAGCTATAGCAGCTACATGCCTTGTTGAAGCTTTCAAACATACCATTGTGCTGCGGCAGGTTTGGGTTTTTTTAGACAGGGAAAACCAGAGTGAAACACTGATGTTGTGCTGTAGGTGAGACCAAGAACATGTTCCTCTGAGGGCTGCTTTCTGCATTGAAAAGTCCTCACTGCTCCCACAGCACATGGGTACTGATGGGTGCTTCATTGCCACTGATGCACAGAGTCTCTGACGCAGCCCAGCCCAATGCAAAACCTGGCTCAGGTTCCTTTTACTCTGGCTTTCCTGCCGCCGAGACTTGCTTTGAACCAGCCCAAATCTCAAAGCATAGCCCAGCTTCAACAACCAACTTGCATGGCATTCCAGGGCTCTTTTCTCAGCCTTTCTATGCTCTCCCAGTGGGATCTCTTCTCTCATGACACAACTGTAAAGCACCTTTGCTTTCCAGTCCTGCCCTAACCCTCACTGTGGAAGGTCACTAGATACCAAATCCAGCAAAGGTGGTCCACGCTAACAGAATCACAGAATCCCAGACCGTTAGGGATTGGAAGGGACCTCAAAAGCTCACCCAGTCCAATCCCCCTGCCAGAGCAGGAACACCCAGATGAGGTTACACAGGAAGGCGTCCAGGCGGGTTTTGAATGTCTCCAGAGAAGGAGACTCCACAACCTCTCTGGGCAGCCTGGGCCAGTGCTCTGTCACCCTCACTGAGAAGAAGTTTCTTCTCAAATTTCAGTGGAACCTCCTGTGTTCCAGCTTGTGCCCATTACCCCTTGTCGTATCATTGTTTGTCACCGAGAAGAGCCTGGCTCCATCCTCGTGACACTCACCCTTTAAATATTTATAAACATTTAACCTGATTTACTTTATATCCCAATGAAAACCACTCAGGAACTCCTCTTCCTACTTCCTCCCAGTTTTATGGGAGCTAAACTGAATTAAGTACTGATAAAGAAACACACAGCAATACTTCTTGTACGATATGCACAGATGTCTTGGCGAACACTCCCAGTCCTTCAGGCGACACCATCTTCTCTGCTCCGCTAACACGCAAGCACCATCATTATCTCCAAAGCTAGGGCAGTTAATCTTAATCTCATTATGCAAGTAAAAAGGTTGTGCTTTCCTCTAAGGCCAGGAGCACGGATCATGGCTTTTTTAAGATATCAATATGGCTGGTGACTGCTTTTAATTACGAAGATGAAGGGGAAGTAAAGAGCCCCAATGAGCAGCTTGCTCAACTCCCCACTTCTCTGGGAAAGCAGCCGCAGACAGAGAAGTCCCCACCTTCTCATACACAAAACTGTTTGATGTGCGTCAACTTTTCACTATGGCCCTGCTTCCACGAAAGGGTAAAGCAATGTACTGAATCTGATGAACATCATAAAATGCTGCTTATGTTCCAGGTGCTGACATAGCGAAATTAAAGATCAGTGGTAGGGGAGTGCACGTCAGCATTCTTAGATTCATTATTTTCTAATTTAAAGCTTCAAAATCTCTAAGTTGGACATTTTCGAGTATATTCTTCATCTGCCAGTTTTCAAATGAAATTCACTTCCACTAATGTATAGTTAAATATGTTTTAAAAATAGAAGAGTCAAAACCAAAGCATTTTAAATCATTTCCTCAGGCCACCGAGGCACAAATGTTTGCACACAGATTTTTTTCTTTATCCATTCAGGATGGCTTTTTCCATTTTTATTTTTGGAAAACCTTGAAAATTTCCTATAGCTGGAAACAAACCAACCAAGCCTCTTCCCTACTCAGCTCCCACTGAACTTTGCAGCTCACCCTGGGTACAAATACATGAGGAAAGTGTCCACAGCAAATGGCAAGTCTGGGAGAAGAACACAGCCCAGATCCTGGGACAGAAGTGGCAGTGGCACCCCTGGAGCCAAATACATCATTGCTTCCTATCTCCCTGCAGGGTGTGTGACAGAAAACCAGCAAAATTTGTTCACTTGCATTTTGGGAGACTAGTTAGTTTTACCAAATACTAAACCAGCCCCTAGAACAGACTAGGTAATGAGGCTGAAGTAATCTTTATTTATTAAAGCTAGCAGATGAAAAAGGTCACTGAATGTTTAAAATAGGTTGGCTTTAAAACTTCACGTCTTGGGACACAGTGCCAAAGCTCGTCTAATAGTGGCATCATTAAGTATGAGCGAAAATCTTTATAGAAATTCACTTTCATCTATTCCTGTCTATTAAATATGGGAAGATGCATCGAGTAAATCTTTAATCCTGAAAACTTACAGTGAAGTCTTTGAACTTTGTTGGCCTCAAAAATCACTTCTATCTTCCCCATCATAATAAATGTCTCCAATCTAGACTGCCTTCTCTATGAATGATGAGAAAATTATTTCAGAGGGAGTCAGGAGCACCTGGTTCAGGGCTGCTTAGGATTTCACAGGGACTGAGTCAAACAGCTTCAAGTGAAGTCAGCAAGGAACGGCTGAGGCTGAGCTTTTCTCAGGAAGAACTGGCTGGAAACTTCTTTTCCCATGGGATGTTCCAATCTTGATAGACAAACATCCTTTACATAGCAACAGTTCTTTTTGGATTCAATATGCGCAGGTTGTTTCTTACGCATAACGCAAAAGCCACAAACCCAAGAGGCTACAAACCAGAAGAGTTTATTGGTTTGGATATGCCTTTAAAATATTTAGGTTACAGCTGCTCACAATTTGAGCAACAAGTGACTTCAATTGTAAATTTCCATCAAACACGATTTTCAAACGCAACACCGAATGATTTAACAGCAAGAGCTAGAAAAGAGTTATTGATGGCAGCCAAAGAAATGCAAGACGACACGATGCTGCCCTCATAGTAAACCAGATTTCAATACCTTTCCTACAGGTTGTCCCCACCTCAGCGATCCTCCAGCCCTCAGAAGGAGACAGATACTATGGGGGACAGGGAGGCAGGAATCGGTGCTCTCTCATGAGATGTGTGTGTGTATGCACGTAGGTGTGTCAGTACACAGCAGCTCTAAGCCCTGCCGAGATACAGCACACAGGGTATTTGGACAAGCTCCCCAGGGATGGCTTCCTCAGGCTCCATCAGCCCCAGCCAAAACAGCGGTGCTGTCAGGCCGTGTGCTTTCCGCGCTGGAGACAGCTGTCTACCAGGAGCTGGGCTGAGACACAGCAACTCATCCTATTACATGCACCAGCCAGTTTACAGACAACACCGAACCGCAATCCTTTCCACCCTCGGTTGGGTTTCAACCAGTGCTAAAATAGCAGAAAGCCTCCGTTCTCCCGTTCCCCCAAGCCATGTGGCTCCCCAGAGCGCTACACGCCACCAGCCAGATTCACAACATATGCACTCTGACAAGCCTAATACGATTGCAAGTTTTACTACACATCGCTACTTAATTCATGAGCCAACCAAGATCTAATGAAGTAGCATTTTTATAACAATAACAGGGAACAGATGTTACCGGGAGGTTTATATACTGCTGCAACAAACAGCGTTCAGCTGACCTTTCCCTCTTAACTTTATTAAGTATTGCTGCATTTTCTCAGATGCTTTTCATACCGTTGAGATATAAAGCCATACTCAAACACAATTGCCATCTCAAGTCCAGTGGCTGAAAGATGTAAAGTTGGCAAAACAGTGGCTTAGTAAACATGATATTTCACAGCTCATAGCCTGCCTCTCCAAGTTAAAAAGATATAAAGCCACACGCAATATTTCTCAGGTGTCTCCTCTGACAGGTTAAGATCACACCTACAACCTCTGATTTATACTGTAAACACAGTCCTCAAATCCTTTATGTTCCCATGATGAATGGGCTCTCACGTTAAGAACAGTAACCTCAGTTCAACCAGATTCACACACTTAGAAGATCCAATACCTACACCACCGGAGCTGATCAGTCCCTTGCCACAAACCCAGAAACCCTTCAGATCAAGGGCAAACCAGAAAAACCTCCCCTTCTTCAAAGCACCAGCGTCGTGCTCGGGAACACCAGTGTCGGGAGATGCCC